TTGTTAATCAGATTATGATTAAGTGTGATATATGTAGAGTTCTGTTATTATAAATTTTGTTCTCCATCTTTTATATTTATAGAGTCTCTCAATTTGTATTTTTTATATCATTCTCTGTATTGTGTTTATTAAAAAACCAGTATATATCATGTGACTGTCTGTTGTTTAAAATAACACTTAAAACGATGCTTATGTATTTATTTATTTGGAAACTAATAAAATGTGATATTCATATGGTTTTTATATGTGTATTTGTTTGCTTTTATGAAATTATTTATATGATATGATATGTATTCTTTGTTTTATTATGCTTAAAATTATTTAATTATTTATTTATTTATTTATAATATCATATAATCATATTTAAAATTGTATGAAAAAGAGAAAATTTAATTTTTTTTTGTATATTCGGTAAATCAATAAAAAAAAAAACTTGTCCTATCTAATATTTTGAAGAGATTTATTTAATGACGGTTTAAAGTTTTAGTTATGTATTAGAAGAATTGATCGTAACATATCAACAGTTGTTAGGATGACAATATGAACAAAAAAATATGAAGGTCAATAAATCAATCACTATATTTATAATCTATAATTATAATAAAAGAAAATGATATATGCATAAACTGACATTGTAATATTTCAATATTAATTTGATCTTTTTTTATAAAACAATTATCGTCATCGCATAACGCACGATGCACAAAACTAACAAGTATATAATAAATACTCCATTTGTACGAACAGTATTAATTAGTTTTACCGCAATATGGGGATACGTGTTTAAAATGATCATTGCAACCTAAAGTTGTGATGAGCGATTTTAAAGTTTTGTACAAAAGAAATTTTGATTATTTAATTATTTTGAGTCAAAATAATTTTAATTGTACTTTTAAGAGTAGGTACTTTTTTTTTTTAACTAAAATACATCAAAATCAACCCCAGTTTGTCTTATTTTCTATTTATGTTTTAAAACGTCTGCTATGGCAACTACTATGATATGTCATGGTTTAAGGTTTGTGTCTGATTTCACATTAAACATGTCACCCTCAAATCTCAGTAGTTTAATACGTAATTTTTGTAAAACGGTATTTGATTGTCTTTTACCTTTTTAGCAGGGACGGACCCGGTGTATTGGATATGGTGGCACGTCGTATGTAAAAGAATGTAGGGTCGTAAAAAGTGTCGCCATATCACTTTGTTGTGTGACACCTTATATGAAGACACAAATTTCCTTTGGTAGAGTTGGTTTGCAGGGTTTTTTCATCCACCCCGTATTTGAATTCGAATCTTGTTTGTGTCATTTTCTTAATTTTTAGTTTTAAATTCGTATTTATTATGTCTCTGGAAGAATTGCAATAGGAATAATGAACTAATCAACGGACCAATTATTATTTTTTGAAAAATATCTCTATAGTCAAATGATGTCATCGTTTGAAAATATTTCTAGATATGTCTCTGTTTTTTCAGTGTCTTACTTTTTAGTTTTAAGTATATAACTTAATTGAAACTATCTTAGGGGCCGTTTACCAAACACTTACGCTAGTAAACGCTTATCAAATCATATTACTTTACTGGATGAATCAGGCAAGAATCAAGAATTTTACCCGATAAGAACGAGACAATGACAGAGAGCTCTTACCCGGTAAGTAAAGACGACGACTCTTACCACGGTTTGCATTCACAGGGTAAATTGTTGCATAAGATGCATTTTTTGTTGACTAAAATCTTACTCAGTAATTAAGCGATAGTGTTTGAATTTTACCTATAACCGCTTACTGGGTAAATGTTTGGTAAACCCCCCCTTAGTTCTTGTTTGTTTTTGATTTTTTTTTGTAATAGGCTCTTATCACTTAATCAATAAGAGGTTAACCAATTCATGATGTTTGTTTTCTATGCATTTTTAGACTCTCTTATCACTTACCTCCTCTGATTGATTAAGAGGTAAACTCACCTTTTAGTTACTTCTTATTGTTCTCCGAAACTAGAAAGAAGATAAACCGCATCGAACGAATCCTATAAATTGCAAAAAGAATCACGATCCCCGATTTCATCCAACCCAAGGAAAACGTGTTTCGTCTCAAAACGACTTACATCTGCTATCTTATTATCGGATTAACGATTTCTTTTAAGCTTGATTGTTGATCTGTCGTCAATCCCGACTATATATTAGGCCTTTGTGATTCTCTCTCGATCTAAATCTTTAGTTTTTGCTATATGCAAATCTATTGAATCTTTCATTACGTATATGTTTGTTCTGTATTACCTATGTCAGTTGCTGATAATTTTTGCCAACACAGTTTCCGTTATTTTCTTTGTTGTCTGCTTAATGCTTTCATTATCATATCTGAACTTTCGTAAATTTCAATGACACAGCTTCAATTATTTTTGCTGATGAAAAGGTGGGTCGTCAGGAGCTTAATTATTCTTGCTGTAAGTTATGCATATAGAAACCTATAAGTTGCCTAAAACAAACTCTTATACAAGTTGAACTTTTTAATCGGTTTGAATTCAGAAGCATAAAGTGGTGGTTTATTAACCGAAAAATTTAGAATCAGTTTCAACAAGTTGCCAGAAAAAGCTCTTACTCCTAGATTCATGGATTGATTGTCCCTACCTAACTACATGGTAGTGGTCTAGGGAGCGCAATTGCTAGAGCACGGGAGAATGAAGAGTAATGATTTCAGCAAGAGCATCCGGACGAACTACTATAATGAGTGTAGTGATTACTAGAGTAGAGTTAAGTCAATGGATTCAGACGTTTATTGGTCTATAAAAACAGTCTTATTGATTTTGCTTTCAAACTTCAACACCACCTCTTATCAATCAGGAATGAAATGAGATTTCAGATTTCAGCACTTCTTAAAAAACAAGTAGTACTTAAATATCATTGACTAGTAATAGTATAAAATACATGTGATATATTTAAGGTTGGAGGTGGCGAACGACGGTAGTGGGGTGGCAATGGACGGTGTTGGTCGGTGGTCGACTATAGTAGAGGTGGCGATGGACGATGGTGGTTGAAACAAATATCATATTAAGGTTATTTATCAAACTAAGTTAGATTAGTAATATTTTAGTTTTTATCTCATTCTTGTCTCATCTTATTCCACCTATTTTGGTGGAGCAATAAAAAAACTTCTTTTGTCTCATGTTGTCCCACATTGTCCCAGTTCTTGTCCCTGTCACATGTCACGCCAAACGTGGGACAGCGAGTTCTTGTTATGTCCCATGTTGCACCAAACATGGGACAATGAGTCTTGTCTTGTCCCATGTTGTCCCGTCCAATGTACCAAACGCAACTATATGTTGTATTCTCAAATTTGGGGAGAAAAGAAGTGGATGGAAAAAAAAAAGGAAAGTAAAATAATTTTATGATTTATTTCCTTCTGTTTTCTTTCTTTTCTCTTCTAAAAAAGTTTCAAGAACACAAGTTTTTTTTTACTTTTCTCATATTTCCTTTCCTTAATAAAAAACTTTTAAGAACACAAAGTTAGTACGAGAGAAATAAAAAGAAAAATGTCATTTTTACAAATATACCCTTATTTATTTTCCAGTGCATTATAATGATTGATTAATGTGTAACATTATAAATATTTATAACTGTTATTATTATTATTTTCTTTCTTTTCCCTCCTTAAAAAAACTCGAGAACATGATATTTTTCTTTCCCCTTACTTTTCTTCCCTTTCCATCCCCTTTCCGTAAAAAAAAACTCGAAAATACAACCTTAAAAATTTTAAGTTTTAAAAGAAATTTTAGAAAATATGTTGACGATTCTGTTATATTTTAATGTATTTTACTTTTTGTAAGATTTTGTTTTATTTGTAAATGAAACAATGATGACGAGAAACCGTGTGAAACGGATGAAAAGAAGGTACACAAAATAGCAATCATAATTTTTATTTTTGAGATAAATAAACAACTCGTTTTTCAATCCAATTGAAGGAGAATGGGCCATGGGGTACTCAATTAAGTTACATGTACAAAAGAGACAAAACTAAAAACCTAACCTCATTCACTCCCCCAACCACATCCTCAACCAGGTGTATCTTTAATTCCATCAAATTATCGAAACGTTTCTACTTACTATATACAAAACTAATTCCATCAAAAATAAAGACAGGGTTTCGGTTTATATGCATTTTCTTTAGTAGGAAAAGGTATGATGTTCACAACGTTCTCGTTACTTACTGCATTATTGTTTACGTTATACCGTCTTGGTTGTTTCCTTTTTTCAAGAAAGACGAAAATACCCTTCAACAAGTAGTTAGGCATGTTCTGCAAGTTGTTCACCAAGCAAGCATCCCAAGTTTGAATTCAACACTGAAATGGATGGTGTTTGGCTACCATCATCATGATATGTCTCATTAATTACACAAAATGACCCCTCTTCTCCCCTCTCATGATTACCCGTAGTAACTAAAGAGCAAAAAGGGAAGGTTTGAGGATCCAGACCAAGAATAAAGAAGGTTTAAAAGGAAAACATGGTGTTGATTCATTTTGAGTTGCCCTTGTTTGTATACATGCTAAATTTACAGATTTCAAAGCAACGTACCTCTTTTACTGTATGATGTACATGTTATTACAACGTTATTTTTCCAGATTCAAAAAAATCAACCATTAAAAAGGGTATATCTTTAACCGGGTCCCACTAAATGTTTTTAGTCTTTGGATTGAAAACTTTGATCTAGATAGGCCTAAAGGCACAAATTAGAACTCTCCATTGTGTGTGTGATTGAGTGTCACATTTGCTCTCTTTTTACTACTACTTGTGAAGATGGGAATGGGAGGGAGGTTGATCCTCTTTTCATTTGGTCCTTGTAATTATGAGTCCTCTTTTCATCATGATGTTTTAGGTTGGTCCAAGAGAGGTGGTGGTCAAACATGTAAATGTGTGATGAGATACCATCTTTTTCAAAAATTCCCATTTTACCCTTCATGCAAAAACAGCCATTATATATGCCCAATTTGCCTATATATATGTAACTAGTTGTTTTCCCATTTAATTTCCTCCATTTGATCAAGACCCCTCTTTTCCCTTCTCATAGACATTGGATTTAAGAGGTGAAAAGAAGATCATGTGTCTTTACACTCCTAAAAATGATCTTTATCGTCCTTCGTATCTCAGTCCTCATGAGGAACAGCTCAAGAGATCGAGTTTCGACTTTCACCATCTACAGAGGTCAACTATCTTGCTCTTATCTTTAATTTTCTTTAATGTCATGGTAGTCATAATTATGTTCGATATGCATCGTTTAATCATGCCAGCCAAGCATAATTCTAGTTCCGTATGTTGTCTTGGTGATTTATATGCATGGAATAGTTGCATACCATCTTATATGAGGTGGTTGACGATCGTATTTTGTTCAAACCTAACAGGAAAACAGTTACGGGTAGGAAAAATCCAAGAAACAAGACAAAGGTCTTGTTTGTCGTGTTGAAACGAAAGATGGCAATGAAGAACTTGAAGTTGTACATGCAAAACCAATGCATTATTGAAGAAAATGAGAAGCTTAGAAGAAAAGCACTTGTTCTTCATCAAGAAAACCAAATCTTGTTTTCTCAACTCCGAAATGCCAAAGTTAACCAACACGATGTCATAGTCTAAGTCTACTGATGATTTCTTATGTATTGTCGAAATTTCAGTTTTACCCTTTTTTTTAGTGATTGAATATTGAAAAACATAAGATGATAAACTATCGACACTTACTATATAACATCTATCAGCAAAACCGTTGAAATTTACACGATATTTTATCCATTAAAAAGTTGCATAGTTTAGCACCTACATCTCTACTTTAGAGCAAATATGAATGGCTCCTTTCTCTTTCTTTGAGACCCTCTCTCCAAGAAAGCTGTAAAATGATTTGTATATAGAAAGGGTATCTTGGATATTTATGCTTTTCATGAGTAGTAATATTTGAAATTTCATGTGGCTCATCATATATTTGTATAAATTTTCGTATACAGACGTTTGTTGCTTAACAAATAAGTGATTATAACAGTGAATCTTTTAAAATCTTGGGATTATGACGATTTTTCAGAGTCTCGTGTGGGCATATATGTAATTGTGTCTCTAGTGACTTTCGTTTTTTGAAATTAAAGCTATTTTCAAATATGGAAATAATTGCATAAGCTAGACTATGATTAGGGCTGAATGTGTATATCATCATGAAACTTGATCTTAATTGAATAAGCCGATATATTTGAATTAATTCATGGTGGTTGTTGTTACTTGTTGGTGTATAATTGAAACAAAACCTTCATTTCATAATGGGCTTTCCTTACCCAATCTTTGGTTATAAAACCTTGGGCCCATGGGCTTTCCTTCTTGGGCCGATTTCCATCCTAAATGACAATCAAATATGCATATAAATTTTATTAAACAAAATTTAAGATTAAATTCCATGTTTTTTTTAACCAAATGCTATTCAAAATTGCAATTTGATTATGTCTTAACAAGTTAAAACCAAAGAAGGGTTGTTTGATTTATGGTTTTGGTTAAAAGCGAAACAAAGGGTATAAAATAAAGATGCACATGAACTAGTAGGTTTGGTCCTTGACACTGAACCAGATGCCAAACGATGCATAAAGAAAGTTGGTCATTTCAGTAATTTGTTCGGTCTTTGGTTTGAAAACTGTGACTGATTTGGTTTTGTTTAGGACTACCGGAACACTAAAACTAAAAGTGAATTGATCAAAGATGAAAAATAACAAAATCATAACACCGTTCTTCTTCTCCTCCTCCCTCTTTATGCTTTTCCTTGACAAAAAGCGTACTCTCTATCATCTATCTTTATGCTTTTCTTCTCTTTCTTTATGACCCACGTGGGCATTTCGACCTTTCTCTCTCTCTCTCTCTCTCTCTCTCTCTCTTTCTCTCTCTCGACTTTATGAAGTTTGACGAGTTTTGACGAAGGCAGTTAGAGGGGGCATGACGCTAAATCAGGCTCAACGGCTTGATGAACTTGACGGTTTTTTACATGCTTGATCTGTTTGGTGGATTTCTTGAGTTTGCCATCACCCTCCAACCAACGAGAAGAAAGAGCTTCGACACGTGGTTCCAAAAACCTAATGATGCTGAAAGCAAAAAAATATTTTAGTTCATGATTTGTTATCTCGTACATGTTCTTGTTCTTCATTCCTACCTTCCCACGTAAACCATGAAAAATAATATATATATATTGATGTATATTTTGGGAAACACGTAAGTTTGAAGCATAGTTTTCAAACGATGCTATGTTAGACTCAATTTTATTTATAATTTTTTTTAATATGAGTTACAAAAATTCACCTTTTCAAAATTTCTCTAATTTGTATACACAAACATGCAAACAAATCAATGGTTTCTTAATTTACAAGTAATTGATTTATTCCTCAATTTAATGCTTTTTTATTGCCAACCCCCTCTTTATCTTTACTTAGTTTTTAATGCACAACTTATATTAAATGTTTTAATGAAACAAGATTTTCTTATTCCATATATTTATATGCTACCATAATTAATAATTAGGGGTGTTTGAAAAATTTTAAGTGAAAAAATATGAATTATATTGATTTTTAGGTTAATCAGGTCCATTATTTTAATCTTTTTTTAAAATAATGTACGATTTTTGTAACATTATATTTGATTTTACATATCTTATTTATTAGTTTTTAAAATGTAACTTAATTTAAATTATTTATTATCATTGGTTCACTAATTATAGTAGAAAACATATGTTTATGTACATAGTATTATATATAAAAAAATTTCGTCATAAGTCACGCCTTGAAAAACGTCATTGAGGTTTGGCCTCGTTGCAATGCCATAGCTCAAGCTATTTAGAATCTCACTCTCAACTCAGGCCACCGTTGAGAACAAATCCTTTTATATATTGATATTTAATCTTGAGAAAAGCATCCAGTTGAGAACTTCAAAAAATCCAATCCATTACAACATACAAGTAAGTCAAGAACAATTGACATATGTCTTCCGTTTTACTGAACGATAAGTAATCTCTAATACATTGGTCTCAACTTGTATTTGGTATAACGACGTGTATAGGTCACTAATACTTTTCTCAAGAGGACAGATTTCAGTAGGATATTCGAATGTGGGGAACCAACGTTGATTCGTTGTTTACATTTGTTTGGGACATACAATCGAGATTTAGAGCAAATAAACCCTAACAAATTTGGGTTTCTTGATCTAGACAATGACTTTTGTGGCAACGTTGGGAGATATAGATGGTGGGGATTTCATCCATGTTCATTTTATTTGTGGTAGTCGACGTCAATTGATGGCGGTAACCTGAATAGTGGGATTTCGTCTTTGTTCCTTGGCCTTAAACAACAGAGGTGTGTATTGCTTTTCGTGATTGAAGTCGATGATAGATGTTTGGATTAAGATGCTTTGTAGATGTTAGGAAAAACGAAAACATCATTGTTGAACCCATGGCCTTTGAACAAAGTACTAACTACAACCTCCTGTACGTGTTGATTCAACCAACATCAACATATATCGATGTAGGAGAAAGAGAGCCATAAACAGAATACTAATGGAAACTGAAGAAGCATATTTCGGTAAAGAAAGCTAGTTCTTGTTTTTATTTCCTTTTTGTTTTTAAAATGCCATGTCACGCTATTTTGCTTTTAGTTTACCGTCTTAATGGTCAATCTAAAAATGCCACGTCAGAAAAAACCGAGCCATGTAAGATATGCAACTTGATAATCCGATAATCTTGGCCTAGAATAGGAAAAATTGAAAGTTGGTTACATGGAAAAAAATACTTCGTTACACTTAGATGACGTTTGTTTTTTAAGAGGTGCTGAAGTCTGAAGTCTTATTTCACTTCTGGTTAATAAGAGGGTGTGTTGAAGTCTGAATCAATAAGACTGTTTGTTTTTGTAAATTGACAAACGTCTGAAGTTTGAAATCTGAATTAATAGTTTGTTTTGTAAAATCAGGTGCAAACATTTTGCAAAATTCTCTTGATTTTCATAAAATTTTCATTGCCGAAACTTATCTCAACAATTGTTTAACATATGGAAACAGTAAGAACCTTTTGGATACCTTTGAGACTTCCGATACTATCGGGAATGCCGCCGGTAAGTTTGTTTGTGGAAAAGATCGATACTTTTGATAGATGACAGATCGCCGAGAGAGAGAGAGAGAGAGGGCGGGGGTCTGCATTTCACATAGGTGATGAAAGGGCGGTAACGTTCCTGATGGAGAAAAGACAATAGCCAAAGAGAATCAAAGAAAAAGGGAAATAAGAGGAATTAAGATATTAGTTTACCTCTTATTTATTCAGACTCTATTAAATGATATGAGACTCTGAAAATAATAATAAAAAACAGACAATCTGAATTACAAAACATCTGAACAAATCAAACATAAGTGATAATTAAAAGCTGAAAATGAAAAAAACAAACAAGACGTTAATAGGAACTACAAGAAACTTGTTGCTAAGCATTTTGTCCATTTATTAACCAGATAATTATGTTACTTTTTTTCATGAACCTTTTTTTTAACGGTCTCCATTTTGGTTTGTAAATCTTTGTCCAACTCACTCAATTTTTCGATTGATAAAAGTTTGGTAAATGATTGAAATGGCACATTTGCACAAAAGTGGGTTTTCGATATGTATTCATTTATAACCATATTTAATATTAATTATTTATTTTAAAAAACATTAATTTTAATTATTATTTGTTGCTATCAATTATAAATAAAAAGTAACTACTACTAATATTAATTAATATCAATCAATGGTAAAATGCTCCTTGAACCCAA